AGGAAGGAAGGAAGGAAGGAAGGAAGGAAGGAAGGAAGGAAGGGGGCGCCCTGGTGGCTCAGTTGGTTGAGCGTCTGCCTTTGGCTCACGTCATGATTCTGGGGTCCTGGAATCGAGTGCTGTGTCGGGCTCCCTGCTCAGCAAGAAGCTTGCTTCTCCCTCTGCCTCTCTCTCTGTGTCTCTCATGAATAAATAAATAAAATCTTAAAAAAAAAAGAAGGAAGACAAGAAAGAGGGAGGGAGGGAGGAGAAGAGGGAGGGAGGGAGGAGAAGAGGGAGGGAAGAAGGAAGGAAGAAAAAAGAAAGGAGAGTTTATTTTCCTAACCATCTCCTTCCCCAAACTCACTTAACCTTTAAAATAAAACCCAAAAAGCAGGAGAAATAGTGGTCAGCCATTTTCACTCTCAAAAAACTGCATGTGCAAATAAAATTTTAAGGCAGAAAAAGGGGAGGGAGAGCTGGACTAACAGCCCTTTTGGAGGTATTTGCAGAGAACACATCAGCCGACAAAACTGATGAAGTCTTTGGCCTCACATCACATTCAAGTGCAGCAGGAAAAAGACTTTGAAGACATTAATTCTAAGAATAAAAACAATACCTTATATGCCAACTACCATGTGTGAGGCACTATTTTTTCAATTAATCATCCCAAATCTCTAAGATAATTACTATTAGCATGACTCCTCTTTTAAGATGTGAAAACTAAGACATAGAAAGTTTAAGTAATTTGTCCAAGATTACACTGTGAACCAGCGGGAAAGCCAAAATTTAAACCAGCAAATCTAACTCTGAGTCACTACACTATAATTCATTGAGCTAATTCAAATGTTCAGGGCTCTGAGAAGTGCAGAATCTTAGAAAGATATTTTATCTCTGAAAAAAAGTAAGATTTATGATGCTTTATTAACAAATATATTAAAGTGCCATTTTCATGTCCTTGGCATCATCCAGAGAACTTCTATGTTTAAGAAAAACAAGCCCTATTACTCAGCCATAAAAATGAATGAAATCAGGGCTCCTGGGTGGCTCAGTCAGTTAAGCATCTGCCTTCGGCTCAGGGTATGATCTCAGGGTCCTGGGATCGAGCCCCGCATCGGGGTCCCTGCTCAGCGGGGGAGCCTGCTTCTCCCTCTCCCACTGCCTGTAGCTCCCCCTGCTTGTGTGCTCTCTCTGTCTGTCAAATAAATAAATAAATAAATCTTTAAAAAAACGAATGAAATCTTGCCATTTGTGAAAACATGGCTGGACCTAGAGGGTAGTATGCTAAGTGAAATAAGTCAGAGAAAGACAAATACCATGTGATTTTTAGTTATGTGTAGAATCTAAAAACCAAAACAAACAAACGAAACAAAACAGTAACAGACTATTAAATAGAGGAAACTGTTGGTTACTAGAGTGGAGGTTGGGGGACACCTAAGATGGGTGAAGGGGACCAAGAAATACAAACTTCCAGTTATAAAATAAATGAGTGATGGGAATGTAATGTGTAGCATAGGAAATATAGTCAATAATTTTGTAATCACTCTGTATGGTGACATGGTAACTAGACTTAACATGGGGATCGTTTCATAATGTACAAAAGTATCAAATCACTATTACGTACACCTGAAACTAATGGGCTATTGTATGTCAATTGTACTTTAATTTTCAAAAAACTTACAACTTAAAGCATACTATGGGCAGAGGAGTTTAATCGATTTAGTAAACCGTTCAAAAGATACTCCTCGTTGGTCCTGGAAACAAGTGTGAAAAACCCGATTGTGGCTCTGAGTGATGGGGAAACGATTGTGTGGGTATGACTTCTATAAAACCCCTACAGACAGACATGAGCACCGAGATAGGAAGTTCCATTTATTTTTGGAGTGTATGCCATTTGGAAATGTTCTTTACTACTACTAATAATAAATAAATGGTTCAGAGAAGAAAGAAAGAAACAAGGACAGACAAGTCCTAGTGGAGATGGTTGCACAAACAGTAAGTGTACTTAATGCCGCTGAATCGTATACTTAAACATCGTTTGAACGATAAATTTTATGTTACATATATTTTACCACAATTTTTTTTGAAAGATAAAGATACACAAGCCCTAAGTCTTAGTCTTCTATTCAATTCCTTGTGGCATTTCAGAAGGTAGTTTGGCAAAACTACCACTCCTCACCCTGTTCATAAAGTACATTAGCTATTTCAACTTTGATGCAACAATATTAAATATTTAGCAAGCCCTTCCTCTGTGTACAGCACAGAATTGGGCACAATTAGAAAGGAAAGGTTAATAAAACACGTCTGCCTTCAAATAATTATGACCACTCCCATTTCTTGGCCCCTTCTTTTCTGAAGAACTGTCTAAAGTCAGTGTTATTAGCTATAGTCAGTAGATGAGGAAATCAAAGTTCACGGATGCAAAGTATCTTGCCATCATCCCAAAGCTAGGAAGAGATGGGGATTCTAGGTCTCTCTGATTCCAGATCCCATGCTCTCGATCCCAAGGCTACGGCTGCCTGTACCTCCATGTGCCGTGGTGCCGTAACCACAGGGCAGGGTGTGGTGATTCCGCAATAAGGCTTCACCTAAGTGCCACAGGAGACCCAGGAACACATCTTCACCTAAGATGCCTTGGAGGAGGAGGAGGTATTTGAGCTAAGCTGGGGAAGTAGAAGTAGAATAGAGATACATGCAGTAAAACTTCACCTTTTATCCTAGTACTCAGTGGAAACACTCAAACCAAGTTAACGGAGGTGAGATGGAGCGCCATTTTATTTGTATTCAGTATTTCATACTTCTTCCAATTTAGAGCACAGTAACTGAGGACATGCTGATGGCATGTTGAGAGTGGTGGAAAGAATAAACATTTCTTACAGCACCTTTCCTGATTGGTTGCCGTCAACTGCGTCTACATGAAGAGCCAGTCAAAACCTATATAGCCTTTTACAAGTGGTGAGAGTCTGCTGCTGCCCTGGTGACTAAAGGGAAATACTGGATTGTTTCTCTTTAGTTCCGCTTTCAGAGTGGCTGGTGGTGGTAGTAGTAGGCTTTCCTTTACATCCAGGCTTTGGTCCAAGTTCTCCACCCTCAAAGTTTATAAAGGGGAACTTTATAAGTGTATACTTGTGAATTTAAAAAAATGGACAAGAGTGACGGGGAAGATGGGTATGCCTGCTAGAGAAGAGCTCTGTGCCTTGAAATTTTCAGTCCCACCCCTGGTCCTGACGTAGCAGGCCCTCCCTACTCCCTCACTCCACACCTTATCCACACACTCCAGACCCTGCCAGAACCAGTTTTATTCTCAGTATATGGGAGCATGGTGAAGCCAAGAACTGAAGGGGAAGACTCTCTTGGGTAAGGATCCCCGCAGAGATGTCCAAATAGTGAACTGGCAAGAGATTGTAGCTAGACAAGTAAAGTGTGACCCATTTTGGATTCACTATACTACAAAGTGATCTGTTTTAGCATGTTTCTTTTCTTATTACAAAATTCATAATAGAAAAGGGGGTGAACTTCCAATATTTAATGTGGAAAAGCTGAAAGATGGAGAAACACACAGTCACTTGTAGTCTATAACTACCTTACTATTTTAGTATATAGGGGCACCTGGGTGGCAGAGTCAGTTAAGGGTCTGACTCTTGGTTTCAGCTCAGGTAGTGATCTCGGGGTGGTGAGATTGAGCCCTGCGTCAGGCCCCACACCCTAAGTCGGGCTCCACTCTAAATGTGGAATCTGCCTAAGACTCTCTCTCCTTCTCCCCCTACCCCTTCCCCCCAACACACTCTCTCTAAAATAAATAAATAAATCTTTAAAAAAATAAAATTTTAGGGACGCCTGGGTGGTTCAGTCGGTTAAGCATCTGCCTTCGGCTCAGGTCACGATCCTGGGGTCCTGGAATCAAGTCACACCTTGGACTCCTTGCTCAGCGGGGAGCCTGCTTCTCCCTCTGCCTGCCACTTCCCCTGCTTGTGCTCTATCTCTCTCTCTCTCTCTTTCTGACAAATAAATAAATAAAATCTTAAAAAAAAAAAAAAGAAAAGAAAAGAAAGGGGTGACTGGATGGCTCAGTCGTTAAGTGCCTGCCTTCGGCTCAGGTCATGATCCCGGGATCCTGGGATCGAGCCCCACACGCTCGGGTTCCCTGCTCCGCGGGAAGCCTGCTTCTCCCTCTCCCACTCCCCCTGCTTGTGTTCCCTCTCTCACTGTGTCTCTCTGTCAAATAATCTTTAAAAAAAAAAAAAGGAAGAAAGAAAATTTTAGGGGCACGTGGGTGGCTCAGTCAGTAGGCTTCTGACTCTTGATTTTACTCAGGTCTCAGAGTCATGAGACGGAGCCCCACGTGGAGCTCTGCGCTCAGTGGGGAGCTTGCTTGAGATTCTCTTTCTCCCTCTCCCTCTGCCCTTCCCCCCACTCAATGCTCTCTCTGTCTCTCTAAAATAAATAAATGAAATCTTTAAAAAGAAAAAGAAAATTTTAGTATATATCCTTTCACTTTTCTATGTGCATATTATTTGCCAAAAATTGAATTGTGCTGTACAATTTTCTTTTTTCACTTAATAACACACACATATTTTTCTCCATA